AAGTTCATAAGAACTATTATTAAAAACAAGTTATTCGTTTATAATCTAAAAACATATTTTATGTATTGTAAATATTAGACAACAGGTGGGTTCTAAAATAGTGTGCTATTTACATACCACGACTGTTTCAGATCGCTTGAGGCAGATGCCGCGAAGTTGATACACGTAAACGTGGTCAAATCTTCTTAAGAGTTTTGCATATGTGACCGGGTCTGAGAAAAGGGACCTACTTTCAAAATTAATTTAAAAGACTTCCGGATGTCCTAGAGGTCTGAAATTTTTTATGCAAGTTCAGAACTGATACAATAATGAATAATTCTGAACTCTACAATAATCCATAGTTATTTTTGGACTTGCACAACCAGGTTGCCGATGACGTGTATACTTGGGGATCATCTTCGAGGAATTAAGTCAAATTTTTTGTAAATGGTTTAGGCATTCAATTTAAGACTTAGGGGAAATATTCTTGACACTTAGACAACCAAGAGTAATTTTTGTCTTAAAATTACTTATATTTTCATAAAAAAAATTAAAAAATTTTTTTTAAATTTGTTTAAACAATTGCAAAAAAAATTTTTTAACAATCGGGACTGATTGCATTGTATTTCTAGGACCTTAAACTATAAGAAACCATTATAAAAAAATCGATTTTTTGGTAAGTAGGTCCCTTCATTCTCTCAGACCCGGTCACATATATCCATACAGTGCAATGGTATGAACCACGACCATCAATTTTTGATAACGAAAGTTATTTAAAAACTAATCGATCGCTTCAATTAGCAAATTTCATTACTTATTATTAAAAACAAGTTATTTGTTTATACTCTAAAATTGTATTTTATGGATTGTTGTAAATATTAGACAACAGGTTGGTTCTAATGGATGTGCTATTTAGATACTACGACCGTTTAGACACCGTGATGCAGATTCCGCGACCGAGAAGAGAAGTTCATACACGTAGACATGGTCAAGTCTTCGTAAGATTTTTGCATATATCCATACAGTGCAGTAGCAGATCTCACGAACTACCCGAATTTCTCGTTGAAATTTAGGACAGACGTTAACTTCTCAAATCCTCTGAGCCGGTGGAGTCCAGTGCGAGCTGATTTTGGAGAGATGTTGGAATTGTTAATCTAATTATCAATCCTAAAATCTTGTTATTTATAACCGGCCGGTTGCATAGATATTGCCCGCGTCCGTCTCAAATATCGGTGGCCCAAGAGCGCGATCTAAACTAATTATCGAATTATCGGTTGCATAGATATTGCCCGGACTAATTCGGTAAAAAGTAGATCCGCAGTGAGTTTTACACAGTTGTGTGAAATGGCCGGTTGCATAGATATTGTCCGCGTCCACTCGCCACAAGTGCAATCTCACAAACAAAGGAAAATTGCGCGAATCAGACGTCGCGATTTTCCGTGAAAACAAGAACAAAAGAATTTTCGCCCGACGGATGCTTTGTAATTCGGAAGAGGAATAGCTCCGCCGGTAGTTTGTATTATTATATATTATTATTTTTGAATAGTCCATTATTCTACAAAATGGTATAATTTGAGTTAAAAAATTTTCTCACAGAACCTGGATATTGATTTCTTGAATATTTGATTTCTCAGAATATAGTTTTAACACAAATTGTACTTCATTTTAACGTGATGAACTATTTCTGATGTTTTAATCAATGTCTTTTTGCTATAGATTCTTATTTGAAACGATTTTATTGAAACTCTTCGACGGAATTGTAAAACATATGTAGCACTTTACGTGGAATAATTTCACGTCAGTTTATCTACTTTAAACTCTTTTTATTTATGTGTATACAAATATTTTCATATTTTTATATTTTTTCATTTTGAACACAAGCTTTAAAGATGTTAAAGCATAAAAAGTATGGTTGTTGCTTATGTTCCAATGCCAACGTTTTGACTTGGTAATATTTGTTTAAAAAAATGTATTATTTTAAAAAAAATTTAAAATACTAAACGCACTTTATTTTCTATGTAATTTCAAAGACCAATGAAAGTAAGGGAAAGAAAGGATGACTTAGAGAGAATTATTTTTTTTGTTACATCAAATTTAATTCTATTAAAAATAGTTCAACGTATGTAAATAATATATTTCTATAAAAGAAATAAAATCATATTGTTAATTCTGGGATTATGTAAATGGGGATAAAGTCAGACCCGCGATCGTTACAGGGGACGAGGCATCCGTGGCATCAGCAGGAGCTTGGGATATCGAAGAAAAAAAAGCAAGATCAGACAATATCTTAGCAATCAAACCATCGGAATTAAAGCAAATAAAAAATTTTGTAACGTCGAGGGATGTGTGGCAGAAGTTAAAGTCAATTTACCAGTCAATCGGGCCAGCCCGAAAAGCGACGTTGCTTAAGACGCTTACGCTACTAAAAATGACGGACGATGGCGATGTACACGATCACCTGCAGAAATTCTTCGATATCATTGACAAGCTGAGCGAAAAGGATATAGATGTAAACAAGGATCTCCTAACCGTGATGTTACTTTACAGTCTGCCCATTAGCTTTGAAAATTTTCTCTGCGCGACGAGTTGCCGACCCCAGAAACTTTACGCTTAAAAATTGTTGAAGAGTTCTAAACAAGAAAGAATGGAAATCAGTACAATCTTTCCGACGCGATGTTCTCGAAGAAAAAGTTTTTCAAATCGCGCAATACAAATCGAAAAGAAGACGATAAAAAATGTGACAGTGGACAGAAGAGTGAGCTATTTAAGTTTAGATGTCGCCGGTGCCGAAAACTCGGTCATAAGGCAGTAAACTGTAACGAATCTAGAGAAACCAAAAACAACGCGAATACAGTTTACGACGAATGTTTACTGTCGAATACAGAGAACACAAATCGCTCGGAAGCGTACGGGACGGGTGAATCGCGGAACAGTGAATTATGGTGTCTTCATAGTGGCTGCTCAACGCACATGGGAAACAATAACGCGAAATTTATAACCGAACTCCAACCTTGTGCCGGAAGTTTAAAATTGGCGAGTGAAACATCCACTACTCCAATCGAAGGAAAAGGATGTGTGGCTATCAGTGCAGATGTTAACGGTAAAGTGAAAAACATAAGTGTCAGTGACGTGTTACATGTTCCGCAATTGCGCACAAATTTGTTATCCATTGGAAAAATCACAGATCGAAATTGTGTAGTGATCTTTGATAAACGGGAAGCTAAAATCATTAACAAAGCAGGTAAAACAATACTCGCTGCCGATCGGAAGGAAGGCTTGTATTATATACGCGAAACAAGTAGTAAATTGAACTCGAATGTTGTGATCGACGAAACTGTTAAAGACAATCCAATGGAAGTGTGTCATGTGAAAATGGGACACTTGAACGTCCGAGACCTCATCGACGGTGACCGAAAAGGACAAATACAGGGTATGAATCTCGGAAATACAAACAGAAACTTTAACTGCAAAATATGTTTCAGCGAAAAAATGACGAGAGCACCTTTTCCAAAGTCAGAGAGAAATTCAAAATTACTGGAGATTATCCACACCGACGTATGTGGCCCGATGCGCGTCGAATCGGTCGGAGGAGACAGATATATTGCGACATTTATCGATGATTACTCCCGTTGGTGTGCCATACGTCTTCTGAAAAATAAGAGTGATGTGCTTTTCTCTTTCAAGGACTTCAAGGCCGCAGCCGAGAATATACACGGCTGCAGGATACAATACGTCCAGTCAGACAACGGGAAAGAGTACATAAACTCTGCATTCAACGAGTTCCTGAAAGAAAATGGCATGGGCAGAAGGTTAACTGTCACTTATACACCACACAAGAATGCTGTTGCGGAAAGACTGGATAGGACACTGATGGACATGAAGAGATGTCTCCTGAAGCAATCAAATCTTCCTTCATCATTTTGGGGTAAAGCTGTTAATACTTCAAATTATATTCGGAACCGGTGTCCGTCCAGCAGTCTCGATGGTATAACTACTTTTGAAAAGTGGACCGGAAAAGTTCCGAACGTGAGTATTAGTATATACTTGCCTCTAAGTCCTCTGTGAATTTCAAAATGGGATCTGCATAAATTTCTGAGAAAAAAAATGCAGAATGCTATGGATCACAGTTTTTACTTTATATTGTGCGAATATGGCTCAATTCCGAAAGCTTGCGGCAAATTCTCGTGATTGAGATTACTTCATAACGTTTGTGAATTCTTGTCATTATTTTGGGGTTACCTGCAAGATATTTTTTCACAGTTTCTTTTCTCATTTTTGAATTGTAATACGTTTGATTTTCGTTGAATTTCGTTAATTTAGTTTTAAGTTATTAATTCATAATATGCATTCAATTTTCAGTAAGCACAACATTATATACTATATATACATGTATAAATTGTAATATTTGAACAAATGGACAAAATTTTTAATGAAATACTCCAAGTGGGTACCTCGAAAGAGGGTAATCCCACCACCGATTCTGATTGGGTGCAAGCCCCGATAGTCGGTGCAAATGGCTCCAAGGATTTTGGAGGGAGCCAAATAGATAGCCAGGTGACATGCTACGAATCAAATGTTCCAAATCAGTTCCTGGCTATTCCGGGAATTTTTAAAAGCTTGCGCCAAGGATTCAAGCGACAAAAAAACGTCAGTCGTGACATCCAGGATGGCGTGACGGTCTTGGAAAGTGCGTTCGATATAATCTGTAAGGATTTACGTTTTATCCCCGAGCCTTTCAAAGAGCAAGAGCCGCAACATCCAACTGTGAGAGCTCCACAGCAGACGGAGAGCACTACTGCAGCTCTGGACGGCGCAACGACATGCGCTAATAAGGCAAAAGGCGTTAACAAACGCCCCAGGGAAGGTGCAAGCCCAGATGCGAGTCCGCAACGGGCGACTCAAAGCGGGAAGAGAATTAAGCGAAAGGATGCTCCACAGCTTGGTTCTGAGTCGATATAAAAAAAGAGGGAATTAAGATCAGTTAAACAAGATACGTCAATGATGTCCTCGCACGTTTTGGGATGTCAGACTGCAAGCCGGTGTCAACGCCGCTAGACCCCGGAGTGAAGTTGGAAAAAGCAAAGGATCCTGATCACGAAGAAAACTCTCTTCCGTATCGTGAACTTTTGAGATCATTGATGTATTTGGCTATGTGTACTCGTCCCGATATCGCATACGCGACCAGTTACCTTAGCCAGTTCAACAACTGCTACAATATAAACCACTGGACAGCTGTAAAACGCGTACTTCGCTACTTACAAAGAACGAAAAATGTAGGTCTACATTTTTATCGATCTGGTAAATCGCTGGAGGGATGTGTCGATGCCGATTGGGCAAACTGCTCAAATGACAGGAAGTCCTATACTGGTTTTTCGTTTATTCTTGGAGGATCCAGTGTTTCATGGGAATCTAGAAAGCAGAGGACCGTGGCTCTTTCATCGACTGAGGCCGAATATATGGCCTTAGCCGAAGCCGGGAAGGAAGCCGCATATTTAAAACGCTTTCTCAAAGAACTGGGATTGTCAAAGACTTTGTACAATGTTAATAATAATTATTATTAGTTAAAAATAATGAAAAATAAATAAGAAAAACATTTTTTTGAAGAAATTTGCTTATTTAAATAATATTTTTTGTCCAGCGCCTACAGTAGAAGGCTAGTGCAGAAATGAATATGACTGGGAGAAGAATGGAGTTATAAGTTTATTATTATGTGTTTTGGATTAGACATAATTTATTTCTCTAATTTTACTCTTTAACAAATATTTTTTTAGTATTTCCAATAAGAATCACAGTAAATCAAAGTAACGAACTTATTAACTGACATACTAACTAATTCAATAACTAACTGAGTAACTAACTATCTAACTTATGAACTAACAGAATATTGCATTGTATTACTCACTAATTGTCACATTATAATGTAATATTTATAAAATGTTTTATAAAAACAACGTATTAAATATGACATTTCTTCATCAAGTATGACAATTTGACATCAATCAAAAACTACCATTGAATTTTTTTAACCATTATATTCCTTTAAGCATATTCATAAGATATATCTCGGATTTTTATATGTTATCTATCAGTTAGTCATAAATTAACACTTAAATATGTTAGATATCTATATGGCATCCCGTCGATACCCCTAAGATATCTTTTGGATATCCTACCCTGACGAAATTTGGATATCTCATGGATATTCGTATGTTTTTCCCCATAGAAAAGAATCAGCTTGTCAACAATATTGTCATTGAGAAATAAAAATTGCTAATTATTTCAAATGTTGAATGTATAGGGTGATGTGGGGTGATGTGCAACGTTTTTTTTCGTTTGACGAAAAACATGTCAAATAATTAAATTATTAAATATTTTAAAATTTATTGACTTAGAGGCATTATAATAGAATATTTCTGCATTATTAGATTTTCAGAATTTAAAATTTTTCCTACAAATTTTTCGCTTTTTCAAAAACGTCTGTTTTTGCATTTTCCAAAAAAGTTGGGGTGATGTGCAACACCAGTAAAATTCAGGTATGTAATGCATAAATATCAATGAAAATCTCTTTAATTATTAATCTTAGGCTTTTTCAATGCAAACTAATCGAAATCTGCCAAAAAAAAATTACTAAGGTATAGTTGACCTCTAAAAAGTAAAGATTTTACCAAAGAAAAAAATTTTTTTGTTTAATTTTTTATTTATTCATAACTGAATAAGGAATATAATTAAAGGACAATAACTAAGCATTTTTTATTCATCATGTGAATCGCAGTTATGTCACGTAAAAAGTAGTTACGTCCACCCCAAAAAAAAGTGTTGCATATCACACATCACAAAATATAAACAGATATTTAAAAACACTTAAAAAACCAAGAATAAACACATTCTTATCTATAAAATAAATTAAAACCCTTCACGAAACGACTAGAAATGTAAAGCGCGAGAAATATTTCTTTCCCGAGAAATTAAAGTCAACTTATGTACAGCAAACCTAGCTGCGAGTTGTCTCGTGAGTTTTTGAGAACACAAACAAATGGCAATACTTGGCTCTGTTCAATATCGAACTGTAGATCAGAAATCGGCGGTGTTACACATCCCCCCATGTTTCACATCACCCCACATCACCCTAGGTATTAAAAAATACTAGATGATTTTGTTGTTTCTAGTGCTGCTACTGTTGTTGCTGGTGTCATCATTCTTTTCTTGTTATTTTTATTTTTAACCCTTAAAGCACACACTTACGAATCCATCCTTAAACCGCACACTTGGTGTGCGACACCCGGGGACTTTAAGTGTGTTCTCCAAGCTGGAATAGGATATTATTGTTTGGAAAAATTATCTTATACAGTACGAAAACCTACCACGTCAGTCATGTCCCATGAGTGGGAGTGAGACAGACTTATGCGATTCCCATACTTTCCTATGACTGACGGATAGCTTTTCTTACTATATAGTTCAGTATATCTATTTTGAAGGAAAATAGGTTTTATAATAATGTATTTAATTTTAATAATTAAAAAAGAGTTTTTAAAACTACTGAAATTACCTTAAATTAAAAACTGGGTGTCAGACAAGCAGAAATTTTTCGCCGTCAACTTCATAAAGTTATCAAATACACAAAGACACTTGGCAGACTAATGTCACTCACGAAACATAAAGTTATGTACAAAATGTACTGTCCAATATCAACACATGTTCAATTTTTCGAATTTAAACGAGATATTAGAGTAAAAAGCTAGAATATGGGTGTCGCACGCCTAGGGTGCGGTTGAAGGGTTAATATTGGTGGTAATTATTATCCAGTAAAATTACCTAGCCTAGTGAAATTTATTACTCATTATAATGTTTTTTCCCTATAGAAAAGAATCGGTTTGTCATCAATATTGTTATTGAGAAGTAAACATAGCTAATAGTTTTAAATGTTGAATGAATATTAAAAAATACTGGATGATTTTGTTGTTTCTAGTGCTGCTGTTACTGTTGTTGCTGGTGACATCATTATTTTCCTTGTTATTTTTTAATATTGTACGTAATAATATTTGTGATGATGATGATCATGATGATGATGAATGTTGTGCTCTTGTTGTTGTTGTCGATCTTGTTGTCGTTGTTGTCGATATTTTTGTCGTTGTTGTCGATCTTGTTGTCGTTGTTGTCGTTCTTGTTGCTGCATTTTCACTAAAGAATAAATTAGAAATTCAATTTATATTAATAGAATAAATGAAAATATTTCATTTAAATTTGTAATATTATTCAATATGACATTAAGAAATCTTAATTCTTTAATAAATTAAGTGAATTGATGGAGACAAGCACAAATCGCAGTTTCTTCTTAAAAAACGATCAATATTATGAAACATTACTACAAGAAGTGCAGGAGGCTTATATTTGTCGCAAAACTAAGCAACTGTTGTCATCAATGCAGTATCGACGTCTTAAACGATTTGACATTTTATAAATTAGCGACTCTGTAAAATTGATTGAAAGCGGATGTAATTCTGTGGACGATTCAAAAATTAGATATTATTGTAAAAAGGATGAGCTTTTTGATATTCACTTAATTTATTATAGAATTCAGTTTTTCTTAATGTCATACCAGAACCAAGAAGGCGCGCGTTGCGCGCTTACTCCTAGCCATTTGAGACAAAATAAAACCTTAATTTAATAAAAACATATGTTCATATTTTAAAAATAATTTTTCAATTAATAAGATTGTTTAAAAGTTTTTGAATTTTGTTAATCCAAGTTTAACGACTTGCATTTTCTGAGAAAAAAATTACACATTAATGCCTATAAATATTTCTCATTCTGTAGAAAATCATCTTTAAAATAAGCCTAAGATTATTAAGAAGTGTGTTCATTATTTTAAAAGTTATTACAATTTATGTAAAACATTGAAAATGACGATTTTTTAAAAATATTGACCAAACGACTTCTGAAAGATGTTGTTCCATTCAAAATGTTATCATCTTTTGAAACATAAAAGGAAAAAAATTAGTTTCCTTACTTTATATGTTTTGAAATGTTTTTCATTCACCTGAAAATGGGTATGGTCTCTAAATTTTGACCGATAGTGTATATTATATTTTTATTAGGGTTTTTCTTTTATTTAATATTGAAATACTATTAATATACATACATAACAAGACTAATTGTGTTCATATAATATTAAAGCTGTTTTTGTTGAGATTAAATTATTCTGGGATAAATTATTTATTACTATTATATTTATTAGTAGTAAAATTAATATAATTTCGGAAATATTTACATGTTTTAATGTTCTTTGGATAATGCTAAAATAAACATCTAGTTTATTTAAGAAAAATTAATGTTTTTGTTTAAGAAAAAGAATATTTACCATTCAAATTTAATTCTAAGAGTTACAGATGCAGAAACTATAATCCAATTATTATAACACCTGTTTATTAACTGTCAGAGTTTAATTTTATACCTAAATATTCTTTTAAAAAAAACAACATAAATATTTATAAAATAAAATCTGGGTGCTTGTTTAAGATTCATTAAAAAAATGTAAAATCATGTAAAGTATTACAGCAATTATATTAATTTTAATAAAACAAGGAAAACTCAATAATTTTTTAACTGATTGTAGAAAATTACTTAAATTTCTTTATTATAAGTTTAATTGCTGAAAAAATATATTATGTTTTAGTGATTTAGACGGGAAAGATGTTTATTTATTAATTGCATTTACGTACAAAAAATATTTTTTATCACTAAAAAGTAGTATTTTACACAATTTTAAAAACTTACTTATATCCTCTTTATTCTTATTTTTTAATTACAAAACTTTTTTACTTCTGATATTTTATATATATTTTTATTGTTTTGTAACTTTTCACTTTTTATTATAAAATATATTAAGAATTAAAAATGATGAAGAATATTTTTAAAAAACACGTATTCTTTACTTCTATATTCAGTTATACTCTGTAATATTCAACATGTATTTATGTATAATACTCGCACTGGACCACGTGGAATAAATTAGAACCTCAAAACTGCGCGCGCACAAAAATTTGAAATTATTACAGCCAATAGTTACCATCATCGTCGTATTTCAACCAATCGTGACCGTCATCATCGTATTTCAACCACTCGCGACCGTCATCATGTCATTTTCACAACCAATTACGACCTTCACTCTTAAACTCCAACCAAAAAAGTATCTGTTTTTCTATTAAAGATTAAGGAAACATTTAATTGAAATTTGATTCATTTTTCACTGATTGGGCAATTAAAAATTAACTGAAATTTTTAATATGCGTGACAGTAATTTCCAATAATTTTTTGATTGGACAAAAAAATCACTGATATTTCTGTAAATTTTAACCGATTTTGAGTAAAACACCACTGATTCAATTCGCGAGAATAAAGTCAGTGATTCTTACTAAAATTTCACTAATCTTCAGTAGAATTTCACTGATTTAGATTTAGAGAGTAAGAGCCAGTTTTACCAACTTCCGATTAAAAGTTAATCAATGATTAAAGACAATTTAAAGGCTTCTGATTGGTTAATTGAGGATTTAATCATTGATTA